CCCATGTGTACCATCAATACATATACAAGTCAGAACTAAATTTTTTCACTATCTCTCTTTGTGCTTCTGTCATCATTATCAAAACAAAATCATTTCCTTTTAGAAATTAATATTGTGTACAATATTCATTCATGCTATGTTGATCCCTGGGTTTTATAAAATGAAATGCATTGATGTTCAGAATTTTGCATTTCAGGTACCCGTGTATCTACACAAACCCAATCATTTTCATGTTTAACAGAATTAGAAGACAAATTGAAAGATTTTTTGATGTTATGTAAATCTTGTTTTGTAAGAAAAGGAAACCTCTCAAGCCGGGCATCTCATAGAGAATTTCTAATTTTCATCTAAAATATTATCCAGAGAAATTTTTGCTGCTATCTTTGATGCAATATTTTTTATTTCATCTGTTGTTAAAAATAAGTGACCTAAATCATTCCGATGCCCAGTATGTATTTTCTGATATGACACTACACATTTGCCATCTGTATGTTCTGTTACTTTTAATGCAGCTGCACAATATGTATTTTTTATTGCTACCAAGGGTTTTTAAGTGACACAAACCTTTACTTTCTGATATAAAATTTCCTGAACAGTGGCATTACACCATGTATATTAAATATGCTTACTCCATAAGAAATTTTGACTTCGTACTATTTTCAATTTCTGCCTTCCATGCCAAAAAATCATTAAATGAATTAAATTCTAGTTCAGTATGATTCAAATCAACATCATGAACATTACTGAAATGAAATATTATTTCTCGCTTTTAAAAATTAGCATAACATACAGGACACACATAATTACCTGTTAGAAGTATGAATTTTATTTTGATGATATTTCCAATTTTTTAGGTCACTAAATTTCAGATGGCAGTCCTCACATTTGTAGTTTGGTGATTGACCACTTTTTAAAGAATCATTAATGTAGTATTATTAGAGTGTAATGTGTTGGTATGGCGTTTCAAACTGCATTTATTATGGTACGTTTTTAAGCAATCAGAACATACAAAATTACTCTCAGCCACACTAAAATTATTTGCACAATCAACCATACTATTAGAACTTAGTTTTCAGAGACTTAATTAATGTAGTATTATTGTACATATGCATGGCGTTTCAAATTGTATCTATAGTTGAAAGTTTTAAACAATCACGGCAAACAAAATCACTCTCAGCTATACTAAAATCATTTGCACAATGAACCTTATCACTCAACACAATCAGAATTATCACACAGGATTACACCTTCCTGATTTTGATTCGATTCAGAATCAAAAATACCTTCTGGGCAAACAGAAGTACTTGGCCATGAAATAGGCAGTTTTTCTTGATTTTATGCGAAGATATAATTAAGCAATAAAGACTATTCTTACACACGGAAAATAAAAAAATCGACCCGGAAGAGAAGGCAAACAATTTCAGAGCTGGGGCTATCTCCCTCTCTTTGCATTGGGACGCGATTTTGAGAAAAGCGGACGACTCCATCTTGGAAAAACGGCATTCGATATGTTTTGGCTTGCTGTATTTAAGTCGGGGTGGAATCCGGTCAGCTAGCTGTGTTCTTTTCCTCGGTGAAATATTGCTATCATTTCATTGAAAGTGACCTGGTAATATTTCAGGATAAACCCTGTACGGGCTACTCCAAAGAACTTAAAATTAGAATTTTAAAATTCTGATGAAATACTTTTAAGTGTAATGTCACTAATTGTGTGTGTGAATTAAGGTAGTTTAATATATAACACCTGCTTCAAAGCTAACAGTAAAGTTTATTTTGTTTATTTGTCATTTAAAATTACCTGCTTATTGTCTTTCGGTGCCATCTTTCTACCATCGCTGAAATTATTTACTCTTCTCGAAGATCATTATCCCTTTTATTCTGTGTATCCGTAATAACTGTCTAATTTTTTTTCTTTTATTGTTCATGTTGTAGCCGTACATTAAAAAACCCTTTCGCTTACTGTACTTCTGTCGTATTAGGAAAATCATTTGCTTTTCTATCGACTGCAGTCATGATTAGACTGAAAATCATTTGCTTTTCTATCGACTGCAGTCATGATTTAGTAACAATGTAGCACATTGCTGGAATTTAAAACAAAGAAGGCTACTTTTGAAGTTTTATATATTAAGAAACAATATTAGATATTTCTCTTTGTGTATAATTATTCTTTAATTTCAAAGTAGTTAAAATCTAATGATTCCTTTTTCCCCCCCTTGGCCTCTTCTAGTGTAATTTGTCATCATTTTTGTGCACTCTTGGATTGCAGAACATGATATCATGAAAGAAAAAGAACGAAGATGGAAAGGGAGAAATAGTGCAGAGCAAAAAGACATCTGTGGCTGGTAATTCTTGTTTTATATTAACTTTATTTCCACTAGAAATGCTTGAATGTTATAATTTGTACGTCCCTTTTCACATGTTGCTTTATATTGGAGTTTTACTAGTTATTTATTTTACATGAACGCTTCACATTATGTTTTAATGTTTAGGGTAGCATTTATGCATTAATTTCTTAGGTTTTGAATTCCATATTGAAGTGTCTGAATTGGTGCTTTCTTTATATTGTATTGTAATATTCGAAGTGAGGTTGAACTGTTAATCACACTATAATTATCAGAAGTCTGAGATTTGTTAGAGTTCTGTTGCTTCGTAGTGGTTTCAAAATTACTGCTGTAGTGTAATTTTTTCCCAAGTGGCCTCCTTTCGCATTACGAGGAGGAGGCTAAACATTTTCCTCTCTGTGTGGCCTAATATTTTCCCTGTCCAAAGGGTAAAAAAATCAAAAAAGTTTTCCTTTTTTTTTTTTTTTTTTACATTTTTATGAAAAAATGATTATTTAAAAATTTTCACTCCTAGCCGAATTACGCTTATGCTATAAATTTTATGGAACAAAAGTGCTTAATCATGACAAATATTAACTGCAAAATTGGGAGAAAGTGCAGGTTTGCAAACTCCTTGCCAAGGTTTTTAGAATGGCACATACATGGTAACCATGTACACGTTGACCTATTTTTACTTAAAAAAAATCCCAGAATTGCGCACACTCTTGACTTTATCCATGTACAAAGCTTTTTTCTCATAAATTAGAAAAATTTGCACGAAAATGCAGGAAAATTTTATAAATCTTTAAAGTCGGTAAAAAGGACATATATGAAATTACCTGATCGCGAAAAAGTATATACCGTTTCCAAGGATGAACATTTGCACGTATAAAATATCCAAAAACTTTTCCCTCTAAATTATCTATTATAAACGTCACCTGCGAATTTATAACGCAAACATTAAAAATGGTTGCTAATACTTAGTGTCAAATATTTAAATTATTTCCATGCACGTTTACTTCTGCTGAAACGTATTCCAAAATGCTACAAACATATAATTCCCAAAATAACTATCATTTAATTAAAATATAGTTTAATTAAAAAACACTACTTAAAATAGAAATAAACACATACAATAAATTAATAAAAATTAACTTAAAATGTTAATTACTTTAAACTAATTCATTGCTAATAAAAATTTTCCAATAATAGCATATTATCTTATTTATTCCTTATATTTACAACAATGCATAAAAATAATATCCTCAAATGATTAAGAATACTAACTTACCTGATCTTCTACAGAACCTTGAGTGCATGGCGGATCACAAAATGTCCATTTTCACCACATTTCTTTCACCGCCATTCAAACTTATCTGTAATATCCTTCCTTTCACACAATCTCATTTCATTCCCACATTTTGGACATTCATACTTATCCGCAATTAATCCTACACTCATACAGCATTCAAGCAATTCTTTTGGATTATCAGATAAACGCAATAAAAATTTCGAATTCACATTAGATAGCGCCATGGGATCCAAAAATTAAGCAACACTGTTTCACACAACACAGAATGAAGCTAAATACAAAATGCTATAAAGTACTGCAGATATTTTTCCAAATTTCCCCCCTTTTCCGATTGAAGAGCTGTCCTTCGTCCATAAATGTCACATGACATATCTCATGATCTCTCATTTCTCTCAGACAAAAAATCCGTAATTGGAACTGGGTACTTCTCACATTATTGCCAAAGTCCTAGGTAGTAACCTTTATCGCCTACCAAAATGTCGCCAAACTGCCTGTTACCATATTCCAAAGATTAGCCAACCATTGAAAGTTAAATGTTCAACAACAAAAAAAAAAATAAATAAATAAATAAATAAAAATTTAATGAGTACTCGTAAAGTTATTATTATTATTTTTTTTTTATTTATTACGTGCTCCGCCCTTAGGCACTACATGGACAGGGAGGGACTCCCCGTGGAGGTCTTTTTAAGGGAAACTGGCTCGTATCCACGTTACACATGGGGAAAACCACGAAAACGCCCATGCAGCCAGCCCGTTCGCCGGGACTTGAACCACGGAACGAACTACCAGTGTTCAACGGCTTATACCGCTCGGCCGCTGGTGTGCTACTCGTAAAGTTAGTGGAGCGAAAATGTCTTCTGTTAAGGATGCTTCAAAATGTGCTTTTTCTTAGTTGTTTTAAGCATACTTTATTGTATTTTTCCTTAATCTGAACTATTTTGGCGTATTGTGAAGTTTTATGAACCAATTTGCAAAGATCTATTTAAAATTGATTCGATAAATAAAAATTAATTTTGAGATCAAATCAGAGATGTTTTATTATTATCGAAGTAAAATTCTGCAGATTAACTTTCAACTTTGTTTTGAAAAGCACTCTGAATGTTTCTTTTGGACTTTTTTCCGTTCTCTTGGCAAATGCATGACAGAATTATTTTTTGAAAAAGCTGATGTCTTTTGCTTATAAGAATGACTAATGCAACTGTAACCGTGTCGCTGTAAAGAGCACATGTTTCCCAGTAGCTCTTTTAAAGTGTCCTGTTTTTTCTTTAATTGGGTCAATCTCGTCTAGAAGATCAGACATTGCTTTTGTGTTATTTAACAATTCTTTCATCTTATCTTAGGTTAAAAAGCTCTTCTTCGTAATGAGCGTTGGGGATGTTTCCATAACCGGCACTTGGCAAAATTGCGGATTTGTTTACATCGGAAGTGAGCGTACGTGCGCCAGAATATGGTAACCCTGATAATTGTTGCAACCCACACAGGGAATTTTCCTGAAGGAGGAAAAGGGAAATTTTCTGTTTACTTTTCGAACATTACGGTAAGAGAAAATAAAGTTTGAAAGTCGCAAATCATTATTAGTTCATATTTTCGCAAAACGTTTATGGGGTTTATTTTTCGAACATTACGGTAAAAGAAAATAAAGTTTTTTATATTTTCGCAAAACGTTTATGGGGTTTGGGGAGTTAAAAAATGCAGCAAATTATTATTATTAACATAACAAAATGTTCCTTTTTTAGGTATTATATATGTTATAAATATTGCTATTGCCATGAAGACAAACTGGGCAAAGTTAAAATGATACCAACAACAACAGCATTTAATTTATTATAGCTTTTTTCTTACTTTTACTAGAATTCTAATGATAAAATGATTAGTGCATTTAAATACATATTAAATGAAAATATTAAAATAGATATGGAGATGCATTAAATATGATTTGGACTAATTTAATTATGTATTCTTACATATATAGCTATGCACATTTAATTTTTCTCAATAAAAATAATTAAGCTATCCTTATTATTTTTATATGTCTATACATTTTTTAACTCTGCACATAGCTACTCAGAAAGAAAGATATATGGGTAGGATATAAGAAGATAAAAATTATTAATCTTCCCTTCAAAGTCAAATGGATATAGCTGTAGTATATGATTTCAAAAAAAAGTAAATCATTAGAATATTAAGCTGAAAATATAAGTCTGAAAGAAAGAGATTTTTCTTAAATTCAAACTGTGCACAAAACATTTCAGATGCATTCAAACTCTGAACTGGAACATGTTAATTTACTGTTGTGGAACTAATATGAAAATAATATTGTTGACAGTATAGTAGTGTACCACCAAAGAATTTATGCTGGGAGAAGAAGCAAAGCTTCGATGACACCACAAAGCCAAATGATAACTGGCTTAATTTTTACTCTTTTTATGCATAAAATGTCATAGTTGTTAGTATCTCATTAAAATGTATTTTCTAATAATATAATGATTTGCAAATGATGGAAATTTACTTGTCATTAAAACATTTTGTTCTAAACATGCTTCAGCTTATCAAAGAAGTTAAAGCTATTCCAACCTATCCCCCATATTAAAGTTTTTTTGATTAAATCAGGTTCATGTCTAATGCATCAAAAATATAAATAAACCTTCTTTAGTATTTGTCAAACATCAGTTCTCATGGCCTTAAATTGGATGCAAGATTTATTTCACAAAGTTATGTTTTCACTTATGGGGCAAAACTTTTAAATTTGTTATTTGAATCTGTTACATTAGTCTTTATTTTAAAGAATATATTGTATGTCATATGGCCATGAAGGCAACCTGGTTAAAGTAGAAATGAAATCAAACTTTCTAATTAATGTGATTTGAAGCCATTGTGTTATACTTCGAGGAATATGTTATATGGTAAATATGTGTGCTCATGTTTTTCCTGGAAAGGGCATAACATTTTTTTACAGAAATAAGTTACCAACCTAAATCTATTGTCATGGCAATTAAATTTTTCTGAAAGAGCAGGATTATTTATAAGCCAAGTGCTAAACCTTTGTATTGTTACCCTGATCATGAAATTTTAAATGGTGATTTAATTTCTTTTTTCAGGTTGAACTGCCCTTCAATGAAAGCTTTTGCTCGATGTGTGGCCTGTAATAGCAATAAATGGGACTTTTGTGAACTGAAATCTGTTAGGCTTTCCAAAATCCAGAAAGGTAAAGTTTAACTTTTTATTTAAGCCTAATGTTCTTAAAATATATTAGAATATCCATAGGTGACATTTGATTATTGTTTAATAAAGACACCATAACAAAATAAGCTGATTGAATCACCAAATTTGTAACTTGTAACTTTTAAATATATCCAGACTGTCTGCTTTAATAAGGAAGTAACATACAGTGCATATATAGTAGTGTTTTGATTTTCATTTATCATTTTATTCTGTTTTAAGTATGAGTTCAGCAATGCTCCAACATAAGGTATTCCAATTTATATGAGCTTTAAGTCGTACAGCTCCTTATTTTATTTTGCATATTTATACTTGTTGTTTTGAAATTGTCAATAATTCATAAAATGCTGATGAACAAAACATTACTATGCCTATATATAAGAATTAGCTTTAATGAAATAAGAAGCATCAAAGTATATGCTAATTGCCATAAAACTCCATACCCTTCTTCAAAACAGTACTTCAGTTATAACTGTGTTAACAGACGATGCAGTTGTTCAACATTTTTATACACTGTGCTGTTACTTTCATACTTTGGTTCAGGAAAGTAAATGGGATTTGATATTCTATATTTCTTCTTTTTTCCCCACATTATAATTATGAATCGAGTTATCAGAAAAGAATAATTAATTTTATGAAACCATTAGCATCAGAATAACTCCATTTCTTGCACATGTACTTTTTGTTTCCAATGGTGGATGCTTGCCTATGCCGGCATTGGCCACTCCTAAAATCAGATATGGTGATCTATTATGGAGGCACCTAATAGGCAGGCCACCTTTGCCTCCTATGAAGGGACAGATAATTTACATCCATGCCTTGTTCGTTATTCGAACCCGGGTCCCTCAGTATTGTACTCAGGCTTCCCTAATCACTATACCATCCGGGCAGCTACGACTTTATTTTAATATGCTATTTTGTATTGATATGTAATATGAAAAATACATTTTTATTATGTATTTTTTAAAACAAGTGCTTTTTAGTCATTGGTTCTATTTAACTAGAATTCACATGTATTGTTTTATATGCAAAATAAATACGACCCAGACTGATTGGAATCTGACTTCAGAGCTTTCGCTCGTTGCATCTGTCACATAGCTTCAGAGCTATAACTGTGTTATATTTAATTTTTAGTACTTAAATATTAATTTGTTAAAGTTAAAAAGTAATAAAAGCTGAAGAATGTCAATGTGATATATTTCTTAACAATAATGTGCAGTAGTCCCTCTTTAAAAATGGTTTTGATTATCTGCAGACAATAAAAATTGAGAAAGTTATGAAAATTAGATTATTTTGTTGAATTCAAATTGGCCAAATGATAAAGATATACTTGCATATAAATCACTTCTGCATATGATTGAAGCTTTACAATATGTGCTTGTTAACTTCAGTTGTCTATAGTATTATTATTATGACAGTTTAACACTTGATATTTGCAGCACATTACCTCAGATTAGAACTATAGGATAAAATGTAGTTGAAAACTTTGGGAGGTTATAAATGAAATAAACGCAGAAGAAATTAACTCAAGCCATTACTATTGTGAATGAATAACAGAGCAGTTAGAAAATTTATTATAATTCAGAATTAATGTTTAGTACTGGCAAAGAGAAAGTGAATAGTGTATTAAGTCAGATAGTTTTCACAATAGAAATATTAACTTAAATAAAAAGAACAAAACTATAAATTTTCCCTCATTAATTATTAATATTTTTATTATGTTTCATTATTAAACATGTTTATTACTTGTGTATCCTGCCAAATAGACTGGCTGCATGGAAGTTTTCATAATTTTCTCTATGTGTGACATGAATTTATGCATCCAAAATGCTAACCTTTGTATGCAACACTCACTCATTTCTAATGCTTTAAAGTCCCAATACTCGTTTAATTTAGCATTTGCAGTATCAGCGTTGTTACACTATGAGTATTACTAATATTTTAATTCAGTGCTGCTTTTTAATTACTTTCACATTTATTTTATTCAATAAATAAATTAACTAAAATATAAAATTTATTGTGAATCGATTTTGTAATTATTTATGTTTATAATTTTTATCCCTTCCAGCTGATTAGGTGTGCAGAAGCAGCAGACTTGTAAATGTGAAGGAGCTATTTGCTTAGTTATGCAGTAGAATTCACCACCCTGCGGCAAGCTTCATTAAAGCTGTGAACAGCCAAGCTAACCATCTTCAGGGCAAGTGGCTGCATCAAGCAAACCCAGTGACATTCCAAAGAGGAATGTCAGTCAAAATAAAAACTTAATACCTAAATCTCGGAAAATCAGACAATTAAGCCACAAATCTTGTGACCAATTTTTCAGTTGCTGTGCTTAGTGCGATAAAGTTATATGGCAATAAACTGAAAAGCTATGGCAGGTATTCTATTGTACCCTTTAATGAAATCAATTTAAAGCAAGCTTATCATATGATAAGCAAAATGATTGTATCATTGGATATGAAGACTATGGTAATGATTGCATTGCTGGGTATGCAGGCTATGGTTCTACAATGAGCCAAATGTAATATCTCAGTATGCTGTGACTATTAAAATTATAACTTATGTATTATTACTTCATATTGGTCATTATGTTCCAAAATAGATGCTCTTTTTATATAGAACTATATAAATGTAGAAAATCTGAGAAGTTAATTTTATATGGAAAGCCTTCGTGCAAAATTAATAGCATCTTGTTAATTTCATATATGTTTTGTGAAAGTAATTGCTGCTGAATCTAGAATTAATGCATTATCTGAGATTTGAGACAAAATTTGTCAAATTAGAAGATAGTGAAATAGATAAATAGGAAATGAAACATGAAATTTATATATTTAATATTGAAATAAATATCTCAGTAAAGTGGCTGTATGTAAAGTATAATGATGCAATTTTTATAATTTTTTACTAAAATGCTAAAATTATGTGCTATGAAAATTTTATTTTCATTAATATTTATAATTTTTTCCTCGCAAATTTTTATCCAAGGTGTCTATGTTTTAGCTATTTTAGATTTTTCTGTTTTAATGTTAAAAATATCTTCTTTATCAGCATTACATTAAAATCCATCTCATAATCATTTGAAAACGAAGGAAATTTCATTCTTTTCAATAGTTTAAGAATATTTTCATAAAACATAATTATAGAAAAAATGAACTGATACATTTATAGTTATATATATGTAAAGAAAATTTTTTAGAAGGATCCTTTTTTCCATACCAGAAACATTTCATGAGCTGTAATATGTAATATTAGTTGGCCTAATATGTAAAAGGAATGTTTAATCAAATTATTTTTATTATGCTTTTATAAATATCACTATAATTTTAAGAGTTATTGAATTTAAAAGTGAAAGAAAAAGCTACAGTTATTTCAAGACTCTTTAATAAAACAATTCTTTATTCTTGTATTCTCGTATGAAAATTTTCTGTATATTTAACATAAAATTGTATGCATGTAAATAAATTTTTTAATTTATTATTATCATTCTGTTAGCTTCAATTTTTATTCTCAATAAATTTGATACATATATTTAATATTCAGCTAAGTTTTATTAACCATGACTGATAAGCATTTTAAATTTCATCCTGTCAAAAAATTTAAAATTCCCTTTTTTTCTTGTAATTTTTTCATACACCTCTCATTTTCTGTTTAATTGTAAATATTGCATACTTATAATTTTATAAAGCATAACTTCCCTTCCCTGAAAAAGCACACAGATTCATTCTTAATTTAAAATTCAATTACAAGTCCAATGTGAAAATGAATTAGCCAATGGAACAAAATAACACATATGTCTTTAATAGAGGACAACATATCAATAATTCCCTTAGTTTCATTTATCCCATTAGCTTCTTTACCTATTAAAAAAATTCTGATTCCCCCCCCTCATCAGAATTTCAGTGTAAAGTCATAAATACCACTAATGCACACATTTACATATACACATTTGCTGTCCCCTTAATGTAGTATAAGTAATGTTACTCTTCATTGATAATGTTTATTTTTATTTTAACTTTGCCTGTATTCATTCACTTTTAAAATAAGCACAAATTTCTATTCTGTTTTTTTGGTTATCAGTATTTATTTCAAGATTCACACATCTGCAATTTCCAGCTTCATTTATTAAAATATATTATGCATTTTACTCATTATTTACATTATTTATACATTATTACTGGTATTAATCTTATTATCTTTTATGGATTGTAAACTGACTCTGGATGAAGGAAATTTCCATTATTAAATATTTTCTATTAGCTTAAATAAAACATAAATACACACACGCAGAATGTTTGAAATAGGTTTTATGCTTAGTATATTGACTGATCTAAGGATGGAAAAGTTGTACAAATAAAACATGTAATTTTGTAAAATCATTACATTTGTCAAAGTAAGAAATAGGGCAAATATGCAAAATTCTATCTGCAGTGCCAGACTTAATTATCGATGCTCAGGATGGAAATCTCACTTGGTCACCCTATATTGGAATGATCACCATACAAAATGTCAACACAAATATAAAATTAACATTTATTTAATTAAAATTAAATATTTGAATTGATTTGAAAAGCAAGTCTTAAGATTAAGGGGGAAAAATTACATTTAGAAAACAAATTTATATTTAAAAATGCTTATTAATCAGCTATTTTTGATGATTTAAAAAATATTGTTAACTTTTCTAAAAATAAAAAGCTATAAACTGTTTTTAGTGAATTTTGACTTACGAAAGTTTGTTTATAGTTTTGTCAAAAATTAATTAACATGTTTAGCTACCGTATTTTCAATGCACAAAGACTGACAAGCCATTAAATCTTGGCACATTGTTGATCGAAGATAGTTTTTAATCTACTTCAACTTCGAAAAGCTTCTCTAGCATGGAGCAATTGAAACATACACTGTCCAAAAAAAATCTTTAGTGCCAATTATGAGTTAGGGATTGATTCTCCCAATACAGACCACATTTTAGCTTCGTTTTTTTTTTAATATATACTTAAAAACTTAAGGTTCTTCGGAGGCCTCTCCTCTTAATCAGTGGCCTGGCTGTTCTGCTCCCCCTTTTACTCTTCTGCCTAGCCAGAATATGAAAAAGGTGCAATACCCTAGCCAAATTTTCCATTGCTAGCAGTACTTATTTCTAATTACACCACGAAGGCATGCGGTAATAAAGGAGAAAATTCCTTGCATTCTCCCCCACTTCAAGGGCGACAAGGAAGGTAAGGATCAGTTGCTAAATCCTGATAGTGACATATTATAGGCTACCACATTTTACTTCAGGCGCCAATAGGCAGGAAAAATATACGTTTGCCTCGGCGAGTTTTGAACTCCTAACCTCATGATTTCTAGGCGGGCGGGCTTCCGATTATACCGTTAAGGACCGCTTTAAAGAGCAAAAAATACCTATAACTCTTCCTATTAGTAAGGATTAGTTTTTTTCCGACTTGTTTTCCAGTAAATTAGATTAATATGACGCCATGTTTTATAGTTTTATTATATAATATTCAATTTGTTTTTCGTTATGACATAAATAGAAATAACTTTGCTTTGTTAAGTTTCCCAATTTATAGGTAACCTCTCATGTGCATCGGCAAAGTACAATCCATCTCTCTGTTATATACAGTTAAAAGTCGTTAATCCGGACTCGTTGGGACTTCGGCGATTCCGGATTATAGATCATCAGCTTAAATCTGGTAAGATAGCATGCAGAAATTATAAAATTAAAAATATGAAACCGTAATTTATGAAATAAAGAACAATTCCCATCTAAAGGCTAAAGGATGTCAAAATTTACAAAAAAAAAAAAAAAAAAAAAAAAAGCTTAATAATTATTGTTTACTTTTATTAAACATTTCTTTCAATGTAAGTTGCTTCGTTTCATGTGATAATACTTTCTCTTTAATTCTATTAAACAGACATAATTTCTTGTTTAGTTACAAAGTTCTGCTGTTCAAGTCCTATAATTGCTGTGTCGAGAATACCGACTAATTTGTCAATCGAAATTTATTCATTTTCAATAACCTCTGTGTCACTTTCTTCACTATCGGAAGCGAATTATAATGACGAGGAATTTGATTTAAATCATATCAAAGACGGAGTACATCAAGATGAAATACTACATTTAGTAAGGAATTATAATCCAAATAAAATAAAAACATCTGCCCTGAAGATAAGGTTATTGCTGACAGATCAACTTCCAATTCATTGCACGCCGTGGCGTTCCCCCCGCCGCAGAACAGCGTGAAATTGATAAACAGATTTCGGAATGGTTAGATAAACAAATGATTAGGCCTTTATCCATTTTTTGCAGCAATTCCACTTTTTGTTTAATGGACTTCTAAACATACTTTTGCTTTGTAGATCCTTTACATATTAGTAAATATATATCGGAAATTCTATTTGACATAATCGAAAGTTCAAGCTTACTTTTATAAAATTGTTCTAACAGTCTGCAAAAAATAATAAGCCGGATCCAATTCGAAGATTAAGGAGCAACGCAATCTGCTACATTAACTGAATTATATAATTTTAGCTTAGCTTATACCATCCGTTAGACATTAAACGCGCATGCGTAAACGCATTATGCGCCTGCGCACACGCATCTTCGCAGCCGTAAAGGTGTTACGCGCACGCGTCAACGGGACGCATGCGCAGAAAGTTTCTAGCTTTGAGGGCCGGATTATGGGGGTCCGAATTAACGACTTTTGACTGTATACAAGCTGACTCAGAACTTTAACAAAAGTCAAACGAAATAAATCATATTTACACTGATTACCATAAAAAGTTGCGAGCCAAAGAAATAATTGTGGGATTGTAACGAAACTTGGCATGGAGGTACATGTCGGGTAGATATGCAAATGATTAGAAATGCAGCGTGATTGTGCACTGCATAATGCCACTAGAGGGCTATGAACGTTCTTCTTAGAGTATAAAACAGGTAAGCAGAGCTTGTTTGATTGTACTTAATCTTTTGCTGAGGAAATGCTGAGGCACAGATTTAACAAGACTGCCTCCGCCACATTAATACCATTACCTGGCCTGCTCGATCCCCAGATTTATCACCAATCGAGCATATCTGGAATCATTTGGGACGGCAAGTTGGACAGCCTATGAGATTGGCCGAACTAGAGACACGTATACAGCAACTGTCGAACGAGATGCCTCAGGACACCATACGGAACTTGTATGCCTCAAAGCCCGCTCGTATCGCATCGTGCACTCGCGCTAGAGGTGGTCAGAGTACTAAAACTTTCGTTCATGTGTACTTTTATTCTGCAATAAATTATCCTTTTTTCTTTGATTTTCTAATCACTTACTTTTATCAAAGTAGTACTTACATATGTAAAATTTCGTTTCATTCTGACAGCTCTTTTTTGGTGCGCAAATTTTTATGACAATGAGTGTATATCGGGCAACAAGGCGAGAAATAGAAAACAGATAAATCTGTATTCTGTGCCAGTGCTCCTTGTAGGCACCTGGAGAGCTTTCTGATTACACAACCACAGAATAGTATACCGTTTTACAAATTCAGAGTTTGCAGATATTCACTTCGTGATTCGTGCATCAAATAGCTGACGTAAAGGACGAGCCACTGTAAGAATACATGGGAAATGATGCTCAATCACACAGAGTCGTAGCTAGGGTTTTCAGCGCCCAGGGACAACTGAAGATTTCGCGTCCCCTACTGCTTGCCAAGGATGGAAAACATTTAATTCTAAAATGTCGTAACATAAGTTTGGCGCCCCTTGGATTCTGCACCCGGGGGGGACAGATGCCCCATCTAGCTACACCCCTGCAATCACATGTGTATCATAACATTAATGT